TTCTTCTTTTTTGGTGTTTGTTACTCTCTTGTAACCCCGCTAATCTTCGGCACTTATGTGACCTTATTGTGTTGCAAGTTCCGTAAAACTTTTACTAAACTAAAACATAACAGAAGTCAATATCATCATACGAGAACTGCAAGGGTCCACGACTGACAGAATTACGAGAACACTTGTAGAACCAAAGTTCTTGTTCTTGAATAAACCTCACAGCGTTGGAAGAGGCGTTAAGCCAACAACATATTGGTCGCTTTTTAGCACAAGGGGGCTATCCCGAGAAATGTTGTTTTGAGAAAATCGAAGGAAAAGTTTTTGTCCCTTGTTCAGTTTCTTTAAAAGACAAGGAGCGTTTTCTCTATAACCAAACAAATATACACACCAATGAAACCTAACTTCTCCTATAGGTAGGGCAATGTCCACTTTGGGTGTCGGTCAAGATTTCTGGAAACCCCCGACATCTGGGTTAGCCCACTTGTCCTTAAAAGCAACCAAACAATCAGGGAGATTTTTGTGCCTGTTCTCCTTTATATATAACTGGGTGTTTGTGTTTTGAGTTCGTCCAAGTGAATGTTGATGAAAGTTAACTTCTCCTGCAGGTAGGACAATGCCCACTTTTGGTGTAGGTCGAGAATTCTGGACCCCCCCCCCCGAAATCTGGGTCAGCCGGCTTGTCCTTAAAAGAGACCAATTGCAAGGGCTGATTCATCAAAGTCATGCTCATAACTGTGTCTGAACTTCTCCTGCAGGTAGGACAATGCCCACTTTTGGTGGGTAGGTCGAGAATTCTGGAAAAAAACCCCCCAAATCTGGGTCAGCCGGCTTGTCCTTAAAAGAGACCATGTTATTATACCCACGCATGGTATTTTTGAATTCTTCACTATACCAAGCAAAAGACACGAGTTCGATTCCCGAGAGGGTAAATTTTTTTTCGTTTTAAAAAAATATTAAAATTAAATTAAATCCCCGTCTGTCTACAAGGATGTTGTATCCCATTCATCCCGAGTTTGCTATGGCAGACAAGGTCGAAAATACTGCCCCAACAAAGTCTAATTTGTTTCGATTCGGGTGTAAAATACCTGGCAGTTAGGCCTCGCGCCCACTTGTTATGTTTTGCCGACTCCAGGCAAAGCATTTTACGCAAATTAGATATTTTGCTTTCATAACGCAAAGCTTATCGTACAACACGATTTTCGTACATGCACGATCTTTTGTCTTGCGTGAAATCTGCAGCCGCTCCCCCATTCACCCAAGAAAACGGATAATTTTAAACCTTAGGCTTATTTTTGGTCCCAATTTCATTTAGTATTTGCTAGAAATAATCGTTTTACAATAGATTCCAAACATTTGAACCGTTCTTAAAAGCAGTTGAGGCAATAATTTCGCTCTGAAGGCTTCATGGCCTAGACTTGGACCTATCTAGATCTACGTCAGCTCTTTGTAGCGTCAAACCACAGGCTCAAGATTTTGCCTGTCTTCGGAGCGGCAAATGGGCGCGCATCATTTTTCGTGCCTGTCATTCGAGCGATAACGTCACGAAAATGCATTGCATGGAACATGCAAAAAATTATAGTGGGCGTCCCACCCTTTTTAAAAACATTTTTTTTTTGCCCGCTTAACTGGCGTCTGGGGTGAAGCAGATAGGCGCTTTGCCTTCGCATTGCATGCAGAAAAACTGAGGGGGCTCTCGTGGCCTAGAGGTTAAGGTGTTCGCCTCTAAATGAAAGGTCCCGGGTTCGAATCCGGGTAGCGACTGTAACATTTTCTTCTCCAAAATTGTCTCTTTTCACCTTCTTTCCTGCTCTCTAGCAATATTCTGTCGTCTGTTTTCGTCTCACTTTCTGCCTCACCTCCTTTGCCCCCTGCTCTGGGCTCCTGACTCTTTCTGCAGCCTTTCTACTGCTACTCCTTGGCTCCCTCTTACTGCTGTCTTTCAGCCACACCCCTGATTTTCTGGTAGGAGAGATCTACACCTGGCCTTCTAGGACAAGGGCAAAAAATCTCGGAGGTCCCGTGTGCAAGTTGCACACGTTAAAGATCCCTTGAGGTCTAAAATCGAATCGATAAGAGTAGGCTAAGGCAGCCACCTGGGCAAAATCCAAAATTTTCTACTAACTGAAATGTTTGGAGTGTTCTGCGCGCTCATATGACCTTATGCAGTTTCGAGCGCCGTAAAACACTTACCAAAAAAAAAAAAAAAAAGAAAAAAAAAAGAAGACCCGAATAGAATTATGAATTTGTGAGATTTTAATCGAGTACCTTCGTCTTTCTGCTGGGAAGTTGTATTTGTCTCATCCTGGGCTGGGCCTGACTGGAGGAGTCATAACCTGCCTCTTAGTTTAGTTTTAGTAGCGGTTTTACGGCGCTCGCAACTGCATAAGGTCATATGAGCGCCAGAAGATTAGAGGTGTTACAAGAGAGTAACAAACATAAAAAAGAAGAAGGGGAGATATGGACGATAGATAGCCGCATCTTAAATACATGATCTAATTACTTATTACGTCGTTTTGGGCATAACAAGTGTCCACATAAGTGTAATTATATAAATACATA